TGCATGCAAGTGCATACATCTGCAGAGGGCAAAAAAAAAGAAAAAAAGAATTACAAACAACATCCAAAGCTCCACAGTTCCAAATTTAACACAAGTGTTTGGGATTCTAAAGCAAAGACCAGTGGACCACACATGGTTTTTGCTGGTGTTCAGCGTGACGCTATGCTCCATCCGGCTGTAGATAAAAACAATTCACCCACTTACAGAAGGTCCGCGCACTGCTGCAAATTCATAGAAGCGTGACGGACGAGAGCAGATATGATCAATTGGGTATTTAGCATGCAAATGAGCAGATGCTACAAGGCCGCTGCATTCAATCGATGCACTACATGTACAAATAATTTGCATACCAGACAGTAAACAGATACAGGGAGCCACCGCTATGTGGGGGTGTTTGATACAGCCAATGTATTGCCAACAATGAACACAACTATACAAACTTGAATGGGACGGTCATAAAAGAATCCAAATGAGGTTTGTGCATGTAAAAAAAACGATGAGAAGAGTGATATGTGGAAGCTATTGATCGGCATGGGAGTCGCACAGTCACAATTTGGTGTGGTTCAACAAGTCTACATCTGTCTGTATTTCTCTTAGGATAAAAAAGTTAAAACAAAGCAAACCTTTGTTTTTTTACTTACTGCAGATGGGCTCAGCCTAAAAGGACCTCAAGAGAAAGGGCAGAAATTTTATCTTATCTATAAATCTTATCTCAATTTCTGCCAATCTGATTTATTTATTTATTTGTTTATTTATTCATTTATTTATTTAATCCAACAGCAGGAAAACTGCCAATTACAGGATTGGATTAAAACTATTTTTAAAAAAATGTAAAACAAACACATTATACAATTTACAATGATCATTAATCAAATCAAAATATTATGACAAGAAAGCTAAAAATATAAATATGATCAATATTTACACACAAAGCTTAAGAGTAACAGACAAAAGCAACCCACATAACAAGCAAAGACAGACAGACAAACAAACAAAAACCTGAAAAAGCACTAGACAAAGCAACCAAAATAAGAAAAGAAAAGGAAAGATGGCAGTACTAAGATGTGGATTGAGAAAAGGAGTAAGATTGCATTAAAAAGAATGACGTTCATGTACATTAACCACTAATGGTTGAGCGAGTGGGACACCTGGCTACACAAAGAGTGAAGAGACAAAGCACCAAACACATCACATTCCCCAGGGAGCTCATTGCAGGTGGTAGAAATCCTAGAAATAAATCCATGCTTCATCACCTCAACACAACTCCTTGGGACAAAGAAGATGTGCTTATGTGTATGCTTTGTCTGTCGTGCTGGAGCATGCAACCTGTATGGAATGGCGTCTATTGTAGAGGTTTAATATGGAAATGTTTATCTAAAATGAGATAGATCAACACCTGTTGTAATTTTTGGGGGCGTGCACATGTAGATGCATCGGTCATACTTCAGAAAAACACAACAGATATCTGAATATCTGACTAGCACTTTTACTTTGAATATAAGCTCTTATAGATCATTCAAAATCACACAGCACCCCTCAGTCCTGCCACTCCATGTCAGCACAGGTCTTTGGGCAAGCCATACTAACATCCATACCCATATCAACCAGCAAATGGTACAAAATATGAACCCTGCTGGTGCACTGAATGCTTCATGTTAATAATTCCCTTGATGGAAGTTCAATTTTTATTTTTCAAGATTATCTCATCTGTTATTGCAGATTAATCATCCGTTACGATGGATTATTCGAGTAGAAAGGAAATTCACACATGAGCCCGACCCACTCCTGCACTGTGTTCCCGATGCATGCACTCATCTGATCCATGCACAAGCTCCCCTTCCTGCAAATGGCAACATTATTCACTCACGCAGCCTATAGGAGAGCAGGTCTACCCGAGCAACTAGCCCTGCGAAAATAACAGGCTGAGTTACAACTGGTTCCAAACCACAGGTGAACTTTGCATGAGTCACTGAATTAGGGGTCGGTGGTGGCTGCAGACAAGTACTGTAAATCCAATAAAACGATCAAATTTAGGTGAAAGCAAGTTTGCCTCTGCAAATGCGACAAAATATGACAGTAACTATGACAATCAAGTTCAACCTCAGTTGGTGCACGCATACCCTGCGGTTATGGAGAGTGACAGTTTGGACTGTCCCAAATCAGGACTGTTGACCTTCTGAGCTCATAGTAAACAACGCTGAGCCCATTCTCCATGGCTTTTTAAGTTGGACGTGGACTCTAATTTTGGAGGGGGGGTGAGTCATCAGAGCAGTCTGGCTCTCCCAGAATTTGGCAGAAAAAAAAAACTTTTTCATGTTCTGTTTGTTCTGTATATGTGTAATTTTGTAAATTTGTCCATATAATTATGTACTTAGGGGACCCCAATGGAAATAAGCCTGTGTAATTGGCTTTCTTGGGTTATCCCAGAATGAATCAACCGTATCTTGTTTTCTCTGTGTACGATTGTTGCTTAGTTGATTGATTTCTGAATAAAATAACAATAATAACTCCCATATGTTGGGTACAATCTGCTATTACCATAGCTTTGTGTACATTCAGTTCCTCCACACATGTAGCTCTGCGTAAAGTTCCTCCCTGATGCCACTTGACTTGTACATCCCCAAATCAGTTCAAGGATGTTTGATCTCCTCATCACAACTTTCTCAGACCACCTACCCTGCTAGATGTGCCACTGCATCCCCTACCTGTCAGCCCCACCCCCACAATGGATACCAGCCATCAATGGGTTTTGTACTTCGACGTGTTGGCAGATGTATATAGTGATTGCAAGTAACATTCCAGTGGTTGTATAGTTTACAAAATAAGTACAAATATGATTTTTGTATGCGACAGTTGAAACTACTAGGTAGGTTTTTTTTAACTGCCGAGTTGGTGGAGGGTTAACCGTAGATGTCAGGACATATACTTGTCATTACACCAAAAATGTTGTGGGAACAGAAGTCCCCACAACTCAGTCCTAATTTGTAGAGAACCTCCCTGTAAAGAGGCGAGGTCCTATGCACTCCGGTCAGCATTATGCCAACACAAAGTACAGCATGTGAACCTAACATAAACAAAAATGCACACCACAAAGGTGCATTGGCAAGTGTAAAGAATTTTTGATGGTGAGGTTTCGAGGGATGTGACCTACAGATACAAGGCGTATGCAGAGGAATAACAGCATTCCGAGAATCTGACATGCAATGCATAGAATCGCCTCTAGAAATCCCCACGCAGAAAAGCCGGTGTTTATGATTCACATAAATGTTGCTGCGCAAAATTTCTTATCGCAGAGTTCTGAGAGGAAGTGAGATTTCATTTAGGATTAGAAGAGACTCCAGGATTAGGGTATTCGTGTCTGACTCAACAGCGTGACATGAATCTTGTCCCCACATCACATGTTCTCACCCCTGAACACTAAATTCTGCCGCAGGTTTACATCACCAGTTGGCAGGTGCCTATCGTTATAATGCTTCAAAACTGGCCCATCTCACTAACCCCCACCCGGCAGTAAACCCTGGGTAGGTCCATCGTATCTATTTAACTTTAACAACTCTTATCAGTGACACACAACGTTCTTGAGACACTCAAGACACATAATCTCCTCTGATTCTTCCAGATATTCACAGGAAACGGGCAATGCCTGATTGCGAGGCTGATCACTCTCAAAAAGTAAGCACAGAATCCCTTGTAGTTCCGCTAGACACTACCAGATCGAAAACTTGCACACTTTCTTGGAACAACGTACAAGCATGGTGCCCCTTGACTTTTTTTTTTGCAATTCAAGCAGAACCATCAGGAAGAAATAAGATTCTTTACACTCTGAGTTTTTTTTTTGGTCACAAATTGAAAAACTGAGAATTCAGCACTAATTTTTCCAGCACTGTTCACATCCCCAACCTAGTTCCAAGTATCAGGCAGTACAAGTTGCTGCTTTGCACGGAGCGCTGCATTTGCTGAAAAAAAGAAAATGTCCAAATTACCTGGCTGCGGCTGGCGGTAATACACAAGTCCATGGGAAGTGGAAGTAGCCACTTAGTAATAGCTAAGATACACACATGCTCTGTATCTAGCCATAGCCACATAACTTGGTCACAGTCTTTAGGATGAAAAATATAACTGATCCTGTCAACTACAGATGGCAGCAAACATGTGCTGATGAGTAGGACGTACAACAGCCAGGGGCCACAGCAAAGCAGCTAGATGAGAATCAAGACTAGCCACGTCCAAATCAGGTATTTTCTGGCTGTGGCTACGGTTAGTGCCATTAGCATGCCATGGCAAATGGCCGTAGGTGTGGAGAACTAAGCCCAGTTTGAACACAGCCCAAGTGACATGTCTAAGTAATGAGCCAAGGTGCTTGACTATCGTGAGTCACAGCCATGACAGACCTTCTGGAAAATATTATGTGCAAGGTGAGAGTAACGGCTGTAAAAAAAGTCAATCAATAATGGCCAGATGAATACAAGAATTTTTAAAAATCATCTGGTCTTAAATTTACAGCTCTCTCGGTTTTCATTGACCAGGAAAATGAAAAGAGGGGCAGATAGTGAACTATATTTTGTGGGAGCTGAGCTTGCATAGTGTGAAGTATGGTAAAGCATGGTTTGAGCAACCTGGCATGCATTTCAATAACAACGGTTTGAAAAGTTGAAGTGGGTGTTGGGAACAACAGCCACTTCAACACAGCAGCTATGGAATAACACCGCAAGAGATGAATCCCTCGAAAAAGGGATGTTTGTTTGAACCAAACAAACATCCCATAAGCTCCATTTATTAGACTCTCTTCCACATAACCACAGCAGCTGATGGCGAGTGCTACACACAGTGAACGTCAAGTGTAAGGGACTGCTTGTGTGGACGACAGACAGACGCCTAATCACACCCTGAGAGGCAGTGTTTGGGCCAACCAAGAATTCCTCATTCTAATCACACAGACTTCTGCTTCAGAATGCATTGAATCTGACCACAGAGCAAGTCTGCGGCAGTACAGGTCTCACCTCAAGACATACGTGGTGCATACCTCCCCCTGGTTTTTTCTTTAAGTACCCTCCGATGGGGCTGTTGTCACCCAGGGGTTCCAGTAGTTCCAGCTTCGTGTTTTCCAGTTCCACAAAGACGACAGTCACACCATGCTCAGGAAGGGCCTTTCAAACAAAAATGAAAAAACAAAGTTGAGCCATTGCAAGGCAGTGGGCAAAAAATCAAGTTTTAGGACTAAGGTCTGTAGATATTTGAGTTTTCAAGAAGCTCTCGGTGTAATGTACATGGCGGTACTAGTTACAATGAGACACGGCCGACTGAATTTGAAATTCAGATCAGCTGACTTGATCAACAATTGAAGCATTTGCACTGGCACGCAGGTGGGTTCCAGTTTTAACCAAGTACAAGATGAGGCTCATTTCCAGGGGCACCCTTAGGATAACCATGCAAAGCATTTCAATACCTCCCTCATGCTCACAAGCTCACAAACTGTCACATATTACCCATTAAGTACAACTGTGGAAGAAAAGGCATTGTACTTACTTGCGGCTCACTGACTTTAGCTTGAAACACATCTCTATATACCTTGACTGCGTCCGCTATAAAATATGAAGATAAATCTAGCGTCAAATCTCTGCTTCTAGTCATAATTTCTGCCATGGCAAAATTTTTGCAAGCCTTTTTGCACACTTTCCCTGACGTAGGTTGCTCAAATTCTACTAATACGCTCCTGATGTCCAAAATTATCCAAATGCTAGGTTAAAAATTGGTAAAATATTTCCTTGTCAAAATGATGCATATTTGCAGTGTGCGGACAAGTTTGACTTGTAAACATTGTTTTTAATGAACACAGAAGCTCCTAGCCCTGCTTGTGCAAATTAAAAAGTAAATTAGATCATGTATCAATAAGCACTGTCATTCTTGGCCACAGCTGTTCACTGCAGTGCACCATTAGCAACAATTTAAAGTGTAGCTGCAATGAATTTTTCTTTGACCCAATTTTTCTGCATCTTTGTACTTTTCTTGAATGTATGAAAAGTCTTACACACTCCTGTTTGGTTAAATGCATTGAAAAGTGCATACTTTTGAACAACGAAATTATCCATGCTTTCCCGGACAATTGAGGGCGCTGTTGCTGTGAAGTCATCTAGGGAAGACATGGTTCAGTGCATAGGTATATTTCTGTTCAAATTGTGCACCCAGAATTTACTAACTAAAAATATTTCTGAGAGAGGGATTAATGGTTTCTTAGTGCTATGCACATTGCACATAAAAAAAACAATCAGCAATGAGAAAACTTAGTCCAGGAAAATCTACTAAAACGCTGGAATTTTTGTGTACAAACCAGCATATACATTGAAGCTTCTTCCCGAGATGACATCACAGTTTTGCTCATGAATATGGCAACACTCGGCATAAAAACAAAAAGCATTAAAATACCCAAATAGTGAAACCAAAGTTGAAAATAAGGTTTACTGAAGCACAAAGGTGCATTTTACAGGTTTGTAAACAAAACCATTGATTGCAGCTACCCTTTAAGCTGTAGCCGATTTGGACATGGCTTTAACATCTGGAAAGAATGTTGCACTCTGCCTCTTGTCTCATATACATGTACATACTTTGTACACAGTAGCTAAAGTGGAGTTAGGATGCAACATTCTTTCCCAGCATATTCTAGACAAAATATTCTTACTAAGGTCTGGCACAGCTATGGCCACATGGTTCAGTCTTCCCAGGCTCCACGCACTGTCTGAATAATGATGTCTTGACAACCAAGAAGTCTGAGGCCACATGACATGTATGGGGTAGGGAGAAACAGAAGCAGGACTTTTATTGGTTGAGTTGGATGTATTAGATGTGTCACCGAGACATACTTCAAAATGTCGCCAGAATCAATTTACATGTAGGTCAATGTAGGTAACATTTGTGAAGCATCTAGTGTAGCCCTATCCGTCATGTCTGTATGTACGGGCACAAGGGTATGTTGGCCTATTGTTAAGCATAATCATGGCAATCTTGACTCTAGCTCCAGACAGAGGGCCAGTCTACCGGACTCCGTTCATACCCTTGGCCCCACTACGGTCAATCCAAAAAGTAGAAAAGCCGCAAAAATGCCTTCTACGAAATTCGTTTTGCGTGTGTGGATCACTCACCCCATCAAACAACCAACATACTACTTTGGGTGATTTCCAGTTTGTAGAAGTCCGTGAAATTTTGGTTTCGATTTGGGCCATTTGTTTACTACAGTGATTACCTCCCAATTGTTGACCACAGCCAAACACAGTCGGGGTCTGTTCGGTCTGGGAACCAGACAGCATTCAAGACAGTGATCACAACTGCAGTTTTATCAGCAACTTTGTATCACTCGTAATGAAGCCTTGCGTATGCATGAACGCAATGATGTGTCGAAAAACAACATCCATCGGGTATATTCATGGGTGTGCGTCATCATTGTGTGGAATGGGGATAGGACAAGCAAATGGTGTGCGCGCCACACCACGCTATGTCTGACAACAAGTTCACACTCGATCCCAAGCATTGTATTTTGGTTTATCATTCATCAACATTCTTTGGCAATGTCACGGTCAGGGGATCTACGTGATAACGCTGTCTAGTTCCCAGACCAAACAGACCCCCACTGTGTTTGGCATCAGTCAACGATTGGGAGTCAATCACTGTAGTAAACAAATGGCCCAAATAGAAACCAAAATTTAACAGACTTCTACAAACTGGAAATCGCCAAAAGTAATAAATCGGTCGTTTGATGGGGTGAGTGATCTATACACGCAAAAGGGATTTCATAGAAAGTGTTTTTACAGTCTCCACTTTTTGGATTGACCACTGGGGCTCTCTTGACTCTAGCGCAAATGTATTGCAGGCATACCCTACCCCTAGAACTGTGGGGTCCGACGTCTGCCCTTGGAAGAAGAGTGGACATCAGACCCCACAGTTCTGGGGGTAGGCCTACCCTAGTACCCTAGGTCGATCCAAATGTTTAAAAAGGCGATTTGTACATTTGTAGAGTCCAAGTTACTCGGACTAGGCCTACCCCTGAGTTGATCTCATAGTCGTACCAAGTCATGCAAAACCATCAACTTTGGATGGTGTACAATAACATGAACATGATTTAACTTAGGCCTAAACATAGCCCCCCCAGTGTGGCACGGACTCTCACCACTCCAGATCCATCCTATGGATCGGGAGTGAGAGTCTGTGCCCCACTCGTGGGGCTAGCCTAAACAGTGTTATAAACTGGTTGCGCTGAACACCATCATCAGATCATGTATGATGTACTGGCAGGATAGTTATTTTTTCAGTTTGTTCAAAACCACGATAGCCATGACTGCGCACGTATCATAACCAGATAATCATGATAACAAATGCAAATCTGCACGTTGGATATGACACATCATGGAACATGCCTGGTGGAACAAATTTAATTTGGAAAGTCACAAAAATTGCTCAAGTTATATCGTTTGTGTATCTGTCGTCCCTTTCCCATGATCGCCATCGCCATTCTCTCCGATCACAAATTTAGTTCAAATCAATTTCATTTTCCATTTATTTGCCAATCGTTTCTTACGGAACTTCGTATTCGTAGCACATGCCGTGCTCCCAGCCGAACCAAGGCCGCCGCCATCTTGGGTATTTATTTATGTTTTGCCCCAACTATAGCGTCTGTCCCAACTGTAGTGGTGCAGTTGGGCTGGCCCAACTATTGTTGACCAATTTCTATAGAAATTTTCTCAACCTTATCCAAGTTTTATACATCTCACACCTGACACAATTCATCAAAAATATGGCGCTTCATCTATAAAATGACACTGTAAACAATGAATATGACTTTGGCACATGCTGGACACATGCACACTGGACCTATGTGCTGTAGTTGGGTCGGCACTCTAGTTGGGACGGTTCCAACTGTAGTTGGAACAGATGTTAGAGTAGGGGCGTAGCGAGGCTGGAGTTACCAAATCTGTTGGTATCACGTAAACGCGGGGTAAAAATGAAGACCAATGGCGCATTTGCCGTCTGTTATTAGCGCACTTACCCTCCAAGCAAATGAAAAACTATTCGCGACTAGCGGTGAAAAAATATACGACATCGGGAAAATATTCACGACTTGTCTCGAAAATATTGACGAATAGTTGTGAATAAATTCACGACGTGTCGCAAAATAATTTCATGAATTGTATGTCCCTTCAGGGCCACCATACCTACACTCAGCCATCAAAGATCGTTTTAGCGCCACTGCGCGGATCTCAGCGAGCCATAGCTAGCTATAGTGCAATTCGTCAACCAGAATTAGAAGCCATAATTGCAGTAGCGCAACGCTCATGGACGGGTATCGACAAGAATATAATACCAAATCAGTGCGCTGAATTGCGGTACTTCAGAGCACTGATTTGATATTATATTCTTGTCGATATTCTGATCACGGTGCTACGCAGCCCTTCCGTTTTGCTCATGGACAGGTGGTACGCGCGTGTTACATACCTCTTCGACCAATAGGGTGTCGTGATTTGCCAAAAGCACGCACGCGTCAAACTTAATGCGTAACAGCAATGTGTGTGCACAGTCGTCTTGGAGCTAGCTCCACGGTTGCAGATAGTTGGACAGACCTTGCTCTGTGTTCCATCCCACAAATGTGCTCTTTTAGAATGATCATCCCGGTCCTTGGCTCTGATGTACAATTTGAAATATTTTTTTTTAATTTGAAGCTGGATTTTCGTGTACATTTCAAAAAGATGTACGAGTGTGCAGAATCTGGACTGGCAAGGAAATGTTTATCAACAATTTTTTAAAACAAAAATATGAGAAAAGTGCTACAACCATTTCACTGTCAAAGACTTTAAATCTATTTTATTGAAATTAAATATGAAAAGGCCGATTAAAGGTGAATTTTTTTTTCTAACGCATCAAAATTTCAGAATTTTTCTCTTTCAGCACTTACACATTCATAATGAAAATTTTTCTGAAAAAACAGATGTGTTTTAACAAGCCAGCCACAAGTGGCTTCTAACAAAACCACAAATACATACATTGCATCCAGACAACATGATTTTAATACTCAAAGTATACTTAGGGTTTATTTTTCAAATACACGTATTTCATTATTTGTTACAAACTGATTGGGTTCAACCATCCACAGATTCTATGATAACTGAATCATGGAAAGTGGTGAGGATTTGGGACACAGTGCTATCCAGCCTTCTGAGATCAATAAGTCAAGGACTGTGAAAGGGAAGACTCCATACCTAGTACTGTCAAATAGCACTTTTGATTTATAGTCCTTGTTTCTTGCCAAATTGTTCTGTACTGACAGGGTATTCCAATATGCCAAATATCTCTGTGTTTCTTTTTTTTCCTCGAATTTCATTTCACTAGAATAAGAAAATTTAGGTTCAAAAACTGACAAACACCACCATAGCCGAAGATAATCTTTCAAATGTAGCAGTGGCTACAGCATTTTCTTCCACTTCCAATCAAAGGGCCACCTTCACAGATGTCACACGCAAAAAATAAAATCTGAACTGGTTGGCCAAATCTTTGAAATGCAAAGATCACAAATAAATCAATGGAATGATCCTAGCTAAGAAAATGACAAGTGTGGTGAAGTTAAGGACTACTATTTGCAATTATACAAAAACTTAAACAAATCTCAAACAAAAAAGATAATTGTGTCTCAAATGTGCTTAATATGATGATAACAAATACTGAGCAAAGAAATTTGATCAAGCTAATGCATCCAAACAAACGGAATGTCAGTTTTCACTGACTGTTCTGCCAAAAAAGAGTAACGGGAGAATTCAGATTGACTTAAAAACAAAACATGACTGAGAAATAACCCTGGTGAACCCTGTAAAGTCCATACGGTGGCCACAAAATCCATGAACACACTGACTGGCTGTTGTTGCAAAATTACATTAAAAAATAATATGAGGTGTTAATATAGCACTCCCTACACAGCAATCTCAAACTCTTCACAATCACCTCTTTTACTGGCCACAAAGTTTTGTTTTCTGCAACAGCTCAAGATTGGCGTGATCCATTCTACACCCTACTATGTACCCATTTACACTCTTGGGTAGAGAGAAGCAATTGTCGGAGAGTGTCTTGCCCCGGAAAAGCAACAAACACTGTGGTACCTACACCGGACCCAGAGCAATATTTGTGGGAGGCTAAACTTGCTTTTGGTCGGCCAAGAAGTAGAGATTTTTTCCCTGTAACTTGTCATGGCCTTTCGAAAGGGTGAGGCCACATCTGGGGCTTTTACATGCACTTTGAAGGGAAAAGAACCAACCAACCATTCACTTTTCATTACTTACCAAAAAAGAGCTGGGGGGGGGCTTGGAGAGGGCGGGCGAATGACCCCACTGCCTTGCCCCCCCCCAAATCCATTAATGGCTGGTACCCATGGGGCTGGAACCCACACACCATCACACATAAGTGGAGCTTAAACCACCGAGTCACAGCATTTTGGGATGCCATAATTTACCAAGGGATAGACAGTACACTGCTCTGGACTACAGTACAGCTGCTGAACATGTGGTCGGATGGAAAGGTAGCCTGGCTAAAGCAATAGACTGATAAGAGGGCTTGTGGTAACACCATGTGGATAGATCGCTTTTGGAAGAGGTATGGTTCTGATAAGAACCGGAGAGTGTTATCAGAACCATACCTCTTCCAAAAGAGATCTAAATGGTGGATACCGCAAGCCTTTTCTTTAGTCTATCTCCACCATGAAAAAGCTTGAAGTCTTACCTAAAGCAACAGACTCGGCTCAAAATAGTCACGGGTAGAGAGTTATTGAGAACAGGTGTCTCAAAAACCATCACCATATTTTTCCCAATCAGTCCTCAAGTTGAGAGCTGTTACGCAACTCACTAAAATATTGTTCGCCTGATGCCAACAGTTTTAAGACAACTCAGTTCGCATGTTAAAATGTTCCCAGATTTTGTTTCTTTATCCTTGTCATACATGATTTCTTCAATTTCTCTTTTCTGGATAACTTGAAGGCTGAATGGGTGTAGTACAGGCTTAAATTGTCTGACTTCAATAAATTCTATTTTTTATGGGATGTTACACTTGCAGAGACAAGGATTAATAGGTGGGAAGGTGGGTACATAAAAAGTCTCTATATACCTGCATTATGACTGCTTTTTGTCAATTTATGTCGCGCCAATATCATAACTGGTCAATGAACCCTGGCTTAGTGCCCCTCTTCTCCATCGTCATAGTCCAGTTCTATCCCTGAGCCATCAGAATCGGTCATCTGTACTCTCACCAGCCCACTCAGGAAGGCATAGCTGGCCATCGCCGTCATGGCCACCACGGCAGCCAGCACCTGGTTGCGCCTCTTGTGGGGGTCATCAAAGGGGTCTTCCGTCGGGGACTTCTGGGAAGAAGTTGGTCCGGGATCTGGATGGGTTATAAGACACAGAGAGGCAATAAAGTGCTCACCTGAAACAGTTCTGAGAATGATGTAATTCGGAAACCGGATGGTGCTACTTGAGTGAGTGATGAGTGAGGTCTTTTGTATTCCTCAAATGGAATACCTGAGGCTGAATCTGGAAAAAACTAAAAAGCAACCAACAGAACTTCAAGGAAATGGAAAAAAAATGCCAGAGTGTACGGTCGTTACATAGGTAGCAGGGTTGGAGTCAACAAGATGATGTAATTTACATTGAGTTTTTCAGTCCCAATCCTCACAACTCGAAGCACAGACTGGCTCCAGTGTGCCATGATTTCTTACAGTCTATCAATCTTTATTCAAAGGGAAGTCATTCTTATGGTGTTTCCTGAATCTAACTTTTTCAATGAAATCTGATAAATGGATTGGTGCCTGACGATTTTGGTTTCCATACCTCACTTTCATTTGTTGTTTAATGAGGCTTGGATCATCAAGATGACAGATTTTGAATTATTAGTGTAAATGAAATTGATTTGTCATGAACATGACTTCAGTGCTTTCATTTTTATTCAAAGGTTCCTGAAATTAAAAGTTAACTTTCCTTTCAGTTCAATATGGCGGACTTGTGAATGCGGCTGATTGATCAAGCTTACTGAGCCTGGACAACTATAAAGTACCTATGCACCAACACGTATAATAAACTTCAGTTTGACTAATGAGAACAGCAATGTCAGATGCGATTACACTTTGGCCGAGGTGCTGATGTCACACACGATCACGATTTGCCTATCACCTGATCTTACCTTGAGGTTCATCGGGGAAGTACCTAAGCAGGATACGGGAGCAGAACCTACACAGGTTATCGGTAGCCTTTAGGTGCATCTGTAACTGGTTGCTGGGTAAGGGGGCTCGTAGCAAAGGAGCCAGATAGCTGAAGATCAAGGCATCTAGGGAGGTTGGTCTGGGGATTAGAAGTACAGGGGGTTAGCACTTGAGACCTGCTTGGAGGGTAAAGGGCACTGCACTGAAACCCGGTATTACAAGTACCAATTAGTACCTGACTGATGGGACTAATTATTACTGGGGTATTTGTGGGGAGGTTTTAAAAATAGCACTGAGGCCACCTGGAAGCCATACCAAATCTCACATTCATTTCTAAGAGAGCCAAGGGGAGGAAATCCATCCACCCCCCCAACAACATTTTATTCTGTATCACTGCAGCGCATATTTTAACAACAAAACCATAGGTCTGATTGAGTTCAAACTCCACATTTGTAATGATAGAGAGTGTCTTCACACGCATGCCAAGTTTCAAACCATTCAAGAGAAACATAGCCAAGTTCTTGGAGAGTGCATTGCATTTTCGTATTCAAACCATACACCCAAAAATGAATATTGACATTTCTGCACTTGTCATCAAATCGGGTGCATGCCATAATACACCAAGTACAGGGGAGATCCATGTACGAACTTAACATGACAGAAAAAATGCTTGCAATATTAAATTTCGTTCAATCAGTGACCCAGACAGTCACAGGTGCAAAAGTATGATCATGTCAAAGAAAAGTATACAAGTTACACTTACACAGGACCAAAGAAGAAGTCCTCATCACCAAGTTTTTCAGACAGTAGATTTATACATTCCTTGGCATCACTGTACACCTGTAGGGTTCATCATGTCAGTATGCACCATTAGGTCTACTACATGTACCAGTATTACATGTACATTGAATGTAATTCTCACTAAAGTTGCAATACCAACAGCATTATGCACAATTGACTGTTGGTGGAATGCCAGTCAGTTTTCTGGCTGTACATGAGAGTCTGTTTACAGTATACAATGTTTTAAAAAAGGAAGATGTGTGCCGGTGTTTTGTCAAAATGTCAACAATTTTGTATTCACATGCCCTGATATCTATGGAAGATTGATCTTTATGCAATTGCTTCAACAGATCGTATATTTAAAAAAATCATCAGCGTCAGGGGACTGCACGGCAGATGTGCTTTTGAAGCAAAAACTTTTAGACAAGAATACAATACTTGCGGAAATTACTCTGGATTGTTGATAACTTTTTAATTTTGAGGGATGACAAGGCAAGCTAGATGTGCCAAGCAAAACTAAGCTAAAAGCAATCAGTATAGATGAATAGGGCAGCCATGCTCTACTCAGTGGTAGGGGTACGGGGGCAACATGGGGGCTAAGAGTTCCCATGGGGGAGAGTTGCCCCCCTCCCAGGGCTACGCCACTCAGTTTGTATAATGGACAGCTCTGTTGAGGTCTACGTCCACACTGCTGTGTTCTTACTCTGCTAGTAATTTCTTCAGCCTCCATGTGCTCTCCTCCTCGTGTGACCTCCACCCTCCTTTCAGCGGCTCGCTTTAACCGGCCAGGAACGAAGTAGTTAAGCGGGAACTGCAAGGCTTTGGCGTACCATGGACGGATCAACTCTACATAGTTCTTAGCATCAACCCACCAGGCGTGAAGCTAAAAAACAACATTGGTCGGACATCATGATGATTTTATATCACGTTAAAGTATTCCTTAAAGGCAGGTTTAATCTTTCCACAATGTAGAATTGTTGTTAGGTTTTGGCAGAAGCAATACACTGCTATGGTTGGACTGCATGCACATAGCTGTGATCCATGTTCTCTCAGACTGCATGGGACTATTAAACTTGAAACAGTGGTCTATTCAGGGTGACTTAATCAAGAACAGGATAGAGAACATAGTGTTTTTCACATAGCACCACCAGTTTTGTAATTTGTAAACTGTTTATTTCACAATGTCAAGGCAATTTCTTTGCCAAAAAGGACAGATGTGTGACATTAATGAAATTGTCTAATGACGTCAAGAGAGAATCAGCTCTGGAGGAGCACTGAGTGAATGGGAGCAGTACGTCACTGAATTGAAGGTGTGAATTACTGAATTTGTAAGCCATTGCAGTTTTCACTGAATCCCAACACCTTGGGACCACTCACCAGTCCAGGCAGGTACTTCTCTTCCATCAGTGCCTTGAGCGCCAAGCTGTCGGCTCGCTGCTGATCGGTCAAGTCCCCGTCCAAGTTTGCCTGGGTCTCTTTCAGGTACTGAATGGCTTCTGTGTCCGATCTCACGACTCCTTCACCGGCATGGAGCATCGGGAGATGAGCTGCTATCAAAGGCACAAATCACCCATCAAAATGAACACAGTGCATAGGTTTTAAATTTTGAAAAGAAAAAAGGCCCTCATATGAAAGCGGTGAATGTGTCCAACCCTCAGGAGTCTTGATAAATAGTTAGACTTTGTCTGAAAAAAAAAGTTCCCACTGCTCTTAGTTAAACTTTTTTAAATTGAGCAATTAATGATGAATGCCTACATGTACGTTTAATACATTTGAGTACTAGCGGGACCTTTTCCCAGACAAAGGTTTTTTACAATGAACCAACGAGTCGAAGCGGTTTGTCAGTTACAACAGTAGAAAGGTTGGCAAACAACAGCACGTGGAGGGTTGGAGCAACTAAGAAAGGTACAGGTGCAGTTGTTGCCATAAAACACTGCAATAACCCTTCTTGAAGGGGTGAGAAACCTCTGTACGATATTCATTGACTCTCTTTTCTGAATTTAGCAAAATCCACTCGGTGACAACAGCCTGTTTAAATCTCATCTGATGTCAGTAGTGAGCAAAAGATTTTTCATCCAAGCTTCGCGTTTATGTTGAACTCAACAGGAGTCAAGCTTTACCCCTTCCAGATTTTGCTATACGTGGGGTGCCCTGAAATATAATCTGATTGAACAGGACTTTAAAAACCTCGTCGGAATTCTCGACACTGCTTCTAGTTTGGATCTGGAGTTTTGAAAACACACGTTGTACTTGCACCTACCTGCAAGATTCTGCCATAGAAATCTGTTCTTGTGAACCCTCAGAGAAGCACCAGCAAACTGTGCATAGGTCTGTCAAATCGTAACCAAAGGGATTAAATTACTGAACCTATCTGCTTTAAACGCCACAGAACAGGGTCTGAAAGTATATGAGGGCATTGAATTGAACTTAAAATCTTAAAAATCTAAAGAATAATTAAACTGCTCCCATAACCCTCCCCCCAAAAAACAGAAACAAATACAAAATGGAAAAAAAGCAGCTGTGAGAGCCAAACATACATGGCAATTAATAAATATGCAACACATCTGACTTAAGTAAGTCCCAGTTCAGTGACTCCAAAATCCAGATAATGTGTCCTACATGAACCTCAATGTGTATACCAGATGAGTCGGTAAAAACTGCACTGATCCTGCTGCACCTGCAGTTACTATGACTGGTCATGCATCCGCCATCAGTCATGTCAGTTGTACCAACACAGAGCAACTGTACACTGAAGGCGCTGGAATTATGAGTCCAAACATTCAGCCACTAGGCAACATGGTCACCTGATGTGGAATGGGGATTTCATATATGCCTACCACATTGTGTTTGGGCTAATTTCGTGGGTAATTCCAGAAATTAAGGGTCCAAAAGTGTGATATTTTCCATCTGACCTTTGTTTAATGGAAATATCACCAGAACCGATTTCAACCTATTACTATTTGTTTGGCAGGTAATTTGCATTAATTCATCATTCTTGGAAATTTTAAAATGTATTCTGAACTTACAAAATCATGTCAGATGTGACAGGGACACACAAAAAAATGAACCCCTAATTTCTGGAATTACAATTGTAAATGTACAGGTACTTGAGGATACCAGCATTATGATGAAAAACATTATGTAATGGCAAACTATATACAAAAAGCCATTCCAACCTACCAATCCCCCTCAAAAATTTTTTTCAAATGCCGGGCAGTGTATGTTTTGCCATGAAAGGGCCTGCTTTTGTGGATCATAATGGTATTGATTGACACTTCATTTAGATTGTAACTAACAATGTATATGAAAACTTCATAAAACCTGGGCTGTGATAGGTCTATAGGCATTGTACAGATTCAGTGTCCAAAAAACTGTCCATGGTGTCCACTCTTGCAATGAATAAATATGAACCTGATGAAATATGTGAAAGAACAAATGTTGCATTGCTTTATAACAAATGCTATTGCTTGAAGCCTTAAGGCACCTCCTTGTACCTTTTCATTTGGCAATTTTACTTTACATGGGGTCATAATGTTATCTGTTTTTAAATCCAGGTCTAACAGTTCAAAATACATTACGAACTTAAAAATATGGATTTTTGCAAAGCAAGGTCAAAGGTCATATATTTGCATAATTTTTCAGTGGTATGTGGGAACTTACTGCAGTAAAATTATAATTATGATGTAATTATTTATACAGAGGACAACTTGACTAGGGGACGAGTTGACTCTGGGATGAGTTGACAGGCAGTGCTCCCAGAGCAGAAACAGCCGCCCGTACATTCTTCAAACGTTCTTCGAAGAATGAAGAGCAAAGAACTTGTTAAATTACTTCTCCACCATTCTATTATCCATTATAAGAATAATGAACAAAATAATAAATAATGAACAAAACCAACTTAAACCTCTTAAAACAACCTGATTTTCCTAGTTATAGTGTATTAAAAATAAGTAAAAATTCATTTCCATTCATTCATACTGATTTTAGAAAATAATATTCAAATATACTGGAAATGACTACTGGAAGATTTGAAATTTAAGGATGTTCAAATTGCTTTGACAGTTCACAGAATAGGCCTATGTGCTACATTGGCACACACCAGGAATCGCCCTTTTAATAAATATCTTGTGTGGCACGTCTCTGCCACCATAGATTTCTAAAGTCACCAGCTAGCTAGCTGCATAGAAGAATGAAAATTGTGAATGAATGAGTACATGTATATGTACGAGTCTCTGTCTTGTTTCTTTTTCTCTTCTTCGTGTTGATGTACCTAAAAAGAAAAGGAAATTCATAGATTCATAGAAAATTCATAGGGGACGACTTGACCCTGGGACGACTTGACCCATTTCCATCCAAACCATGCAAACACCGCATAGGCCTACATGTAGGCCTAGGCCTATTTAACCATCGCTAGGAACATGGTTAACCATGTTAACATTATTCATAAATTCATGACACTAAACTGCTTAACCATCATCATGACCACTGTCACTAACTCTGACCATGGAGGTAGTAAGAGACCCATGGCATGACATGCCCATGCTATAAAACATAGCCAACATGATATGGGCGACGGTGTTTACTTGTTTCTACAACACGCCTCAGACTTAGTCAGATGGTCAGATCACATGCTTGTCGGCATGGTCGGCGTAGCTGTTAAATAGAGAAATCAAAAATTACTTTATGTTGAGAAGATTTTAAAGAAAAATGCACCGTCTTACCAAAACATTAAGGCACTTCACATCAACGGAAGGTAGCCCCCAGTCCCCTTTCCAACAGTCAAATTCTATCGTTTTCTTGGGCCCATCATTCACAATCATGTCTTTGCTCTCCGAGCTCGCCGCCATCTTGTTCAACTTCGACCCATCACCTTTGCGCCAGCGCTTTATTAAATTTGAGATAAAAAAAATTTATGCAATCACACGTACATGTATATGTATGGTCGGCCGGTCGATGCGGACATGCAATGTGAGGGGCGCCGCGCCAGCAGCGCACAGATCAAGGGTTATACATGTACGAAACCCTAGAACTGGAGCTGAGGAGAACAGGTCAAGGCCACGACGTTCCGCACCGGTAGCGGCGGCATTGTGTGCAGCAAGATTGAAGGCAAATCCCTAACCCAGGTAGGCCCTACATGTACCGGTAGACGGTGGTAGATATTTGCTAGCAGAACAACTGACTTAACTTACATGACTTAGGCCTAGGCCTTCTCACGTAGGCCTTATCAACATGACCTAGGCCTTGAGTCAGACCACAAAATAGTTTTTGATAGGCTGCTTTTGAGATACATGTAATAATAATGAAGGGAAGCTAGTATAAAGAAAGTCTGATGTTTTACAACATGCCCAACACCAATTCTCTGAGGCCCCACCTCACTGAGATGTGTTATTTTCTCCAAAGAATTTTTGAGATCCCAGAAACACCGTGAACAACATTGTTACGCCCCAACTGTAGCATCAGTCCCAACTATAGTTGGGCCCGTCCTAACTAGAATGCTACAGTTGGGCCGGCCCAACTACAGCAGAGAGCTCCTGTGTGCATGATGTGCCCAGCATGTGCCAAAGTCATATTGTTTACAAATGTCATGTCATTGGTCATAGGGCTACATGTAAGTGCCACATTTTTGATGAATTGTGTCGAGTGTGAGACACATTGACTTGGATAATGTTGAGACATTTCCCACAGACATTGGTCAACAATGGTTGGGCCAGCCCAACTGCAGCACTACAGTTGGGACTGTCCCAACTATAGTTGGGACTTATGCTATAGTTGGGGCTTAACAAGTTTAATCAGATTACATGTATGTGGAGGGCATGGAGATGAAACTGGGACTTGGGCATGATGGACATATTGGCACACCCTAGGCTCTGGCATGTCTTGCATCATTTGTAGGAAATTAAGCCTATGCATACTGCATATATCATGAGGTGAAATAGCTCAACTCGTACCCAGGTTAACTCGTAGTCGTACCTTGGTCAACTTCTACCCAAAAATATGCACCCAAGTTAACTTGTACCCAGGTCAATATGGGTTTTGATGCCAACCGTCTTTAGAAATTCAACGATCCTAGTATAGCTTATCATCAAGAGGACACCAAGTATCCGTGTATTCAAGCTCTGGGAGTGGAACGAGAATGGCGACCAACCGGCTCTTTCAGAGTCAATCCATCTTCAAAAAAGAGATAGATCTGCCTGCTGTTTGTTTGATGATTAATAAAAGAGATTATTTTCCTTGTCGTTCTTTTTCTTTTGTAACCAATCACGGTCGCCTGGGATGGGAAATTTCCGTAATTTGGTCCCTGCACAACAAAAAACGGATAGTATTGGAATCAAAATTAAATTATTAAAATAAAATTATTCATCCCGCTTTTTCTTTGTGGGACCACGCTTGCGAGTTTCACCATTTGAATGATACATATATATGAATAAACGTCCCTAGAATCTGACATTGTCCAAACAGTGAGAAAAACAGGAAAAAGGAGAAGAAAAATTATCGTAAAAAAAGGCAGACAAAATATCGTAATCTGTTTGGGTTACAAACGCGTGTTTTCTTTGAGGGTACAAGTTGACTGGGTACGAGTTGACCAGGGTATGAGTTGACTGCGGACGAGTTGACCAGGGTACGAGTTAACTCGGGTATGAGCTGACCCAAAATCTCATCAAGCATGACATGTATGACAAAGGCATCCCTTACCTTTAGCACCCTGTTCCTTTAATAAATAGCGAAACAAAGTCCAATTTTTCAAAATATCTGACATAACATTTAGACCTTTCATTTACTTAGAGGATACCTCAGACAGTCAGTGAATTGTGAATAGCAATATAAAGGCTTTCCAGCTGAAGAGCTGTGTTTGCCAGAAGGCTTAACTGATGCAGGAAGTGTCAAACAGAACAAACCTCCTTGTAAACCACAAATCATTTGCTTGGAGAATGGAGGAAACCTCAGACAGTTACTTGCATGCTCAATGATCTGTGAATAGCAATCCAAAGGCTTGGCAGCTGAAAATCTTTTGTTTCAAATTGTTTGCCAGTAACTGTTAACCTCTTTGTTTCGATCTGTTACACCCACTGCTGGACATGTATGACATTACGCACAACGCTAGCGGGGCATGACGCTGTTACTAATTCTCTTTAGAACAAAATATCAGAACTTAATTCATTTTTTTTGTTGTACTGGGCTAAACCTTAGCCAATTTACTGTTTTCTCGAGTAATTTAAAGTCTCTAAGGTAAGCACTGTAAAATCTATGCACCGGTATTGTTGAACTCTGTGTGCTTATCCTCCATAGCATATTGATTTATGTAAATATTTTCCTTTTTAGTATATACGAGTACATTGACTCGAAGAGTTTCCGACCGTGATTTAATTAACCTGTAAAGTACAAAATGACTGTTCCGGAGCAATTGATTGTTGATTGGACTCTTTGACTGTTACATATTGAACCTTGTTGATGTCGGTTTTATGGCAGTTAATGTCTACAATTTCCCGTTAGATTAATATCAATTGTAAATCTAAGGTCATCCAGCTCAACTGCATCTGTTGTGAACTGCATCTGTTGAACGAACTGCAAGTTGTTGCTGAACTGATGGATGTTGTATCCAGTCACAGTAGCAAAGTTGAATCTTCTGTTCGATATGACACACACATTGTAACGATTGGATCATTATTATTAAGATCATAATTTTGTTTGTTAGATGAAACGACTTTGTTGCAACAATTTTACCAGTAATGATTTATCCAGATGGCTCGGCTTGATTTAATGCATAGTCACTCAAAAGTATGCCACTCAAAAGTATATCCGTTTTTGTTCTTTGCAGAATTGAATGATGATTTTGACGAATTATTCAAATAAATCTTCATACATGTACATCAAACACCGGCTGCAATGTACTCCATTCTTTATTCATCTTGAGCCCACCACTATTGATGACCAGTCATAACATAGGCACTGTGCATGTAGAGCATAGAGAGCCAGTATCAAGAATCCTTAATGAGAACAGGTCCTTGTCCCTCAGTGATGGGCATGAGAGTAGACCCTTTGTGCTTTGATCGTTGCCAGGTTTAAATATCAACACTGATCTCAACGAAGCTGTGAAGGTACGGAACCCCCTCCCCCCACACACACACATGTAAGTGTGTATTTGCCTGCAACTTGGGACATCCTATTGTTCCTCTTTTATTTGTACTTTAACTTTTTTAGAAGACCACCCATATGTTTTGTACACAGTTGTCCATCGGGGACCCTCTGTCAATCAGGGACCTTATTGTCCTCTATTGTTCAGGGTCCCCAATTGCATGCAGAAACAAACTCACACACACAAGTGCATGGTATTGAGCATTTTTTCCCCAACAAAAATGAGCACATGCAAATACTACAATCATGTCTTGGTTATTTACTGGTATTTCCCTCTAGAAACGAACACCAAAGTCAGTTAAGAATGTTTGAAAATGGAAAATTCATGTCACATGTAATTTCCCCCTTGACACTGTGAATAATTGATTTGTTTAAAAAAGAAAAGATGAGATGATGCAGTGTTTTTATCTTGTGTTACTCTTGCTTTCGTAGTAAAATTTGGGTCCTGCTTTGGCTACACTGCCGAAGCTGCTATTGTTTTCATTCTCACAACGGTGAAGTATAGGACATGTTTTAAGAGACAGGAACAGAAACCCTTCAAAATGTCCTTCTTTTTCTACAGTTCTAACAATGAACAATGTCACAGACAGTCTGTAGTTTGTTTTTTTTGAGAAAACATTGGAATTAAGAGGGCGAAAAATGCATGATTGCACAATACCCATTTATAAGTACGTCAGTGCACCTGGTGGGAGGATGGGGGATAGGGTGATTTTTACCAAGTCAAAACATGACCCGCGCCAGAAGACCAGATTTTTGGGCATAAAGAACTTCTCCAAAGTACCCAAGTTGGTGTTAATAGGATTAAGAGAAACATGCTTTAGGTCAGGTCATGAAAGCTGACTGAAAAAAATGAAATATCCCATGGAATAGTGACACGAGGATTGAGAAAAAATCCAATTTGTAACAATAACTTAGACCACCATCCAAGGATGGTCCTAGAAGATATCCGTCATGATGACGTCATCACTTGTCCCATGAAAAACCCACAAAGTTGAATTCTTTTCGGGCTTGTATCCCTGGAACCATTTTGTCCTACTTGGTGAAATTTTGCACAAAAACAAATGCAAATGTGTTGTACATTTGTATGTGAAAATTTGAGTTACGTCATGATGACCTCACCACCTGATTTTTTGACAATTTTTAAGTTTTGTCATTTTGACATTCGTTTTGACATACCTCCTAAACAAAATAATTTTCCAATTCTTTTGCTAGACCTCCAGCAGGTCTACAGTGTTAGATCCATTTGTTGGAAAATCTTGTGATGTCATAATGAAGTCACCATAATATGCATACGTATGATTTTTAATTCTACATATTAGGCAATGTCTATAAAGCATATAAAGCCACACTCAAGTTGGATTCAAGCAGTCTCCTGACGACGGACAGAGTATACTGTTCCGAAACGTTGAGTAAAAGCGGTTCTTCTCAGAACCACACATACTCATAAAAGAGAATATTGTACATGGTGTAACCGCAAAAAAAATCCTTAACTAAATGTCTGATTGTTATGAAATTCACTCAGTACGTTAACACTCAATCTGTGATTACATTTCTGAAGTGACGTCATCATGATTTCATTTATTAATTTTTTATTAGTTTTTCATGATTTATACGTATACGAATTTGCATGCATACTACTACTGTCCTCCTGTCATAATTTCTGGAGCTTAAGTCCAATTACTTTCAAATTATGCAGAAAAACAGTTAATTTCAATTCACCAATTTGAGATATACATGTATGTGCCGATTAGCGTGATTTGTATTTAAGAGCCAAGTGTAAAGTAATATATTTGCAAGGATGAGCGTCTGATATAATTTGTGTACACGGTGACCTTTGCCCTCAATTTGGTGCATACTACACATGTACACACACTTGCAGCCGCTACCAGGGCACACGTGAGGAATTGCCCTGTGTCATGCAGTGCGTGCTAGTTCCAACATCTGTGGTCTTAGAAAAAAGCAAGGACTGGTCCGATGACTGGGACTGTGGGATCAACCCTTTTGAAAGATTTTTCTTCTCGGAATCAAATTGTTCACAAAATATACAAATGATGTTTAAAAAACTCTCTGAATCTGAAGCAGCTCTGTGGTTGTTCACAACCACATTCCTCTAGTTTTGAATTTAAATTTGAGCTCCTTCAAAAATACACTGTCCAACTGAACCTTGTTTTTCTTTTTCCACAGTTACCTTGAAATGGAATACGGCTCACTCATGTTTGCAATTGCAAAATGAAGTTTGTTAAAGTCCAAGTGGATTTTCTCCAAAACTAGTTTCTCCGTTTGAATCTTGAATAATTTCCATTTTTTCTGTTATGTCAGGATGGAATGGAGTCCACTCATATTGGCTATTGTACTCGTTGCCACTGCTTACCTATACAACTGCAATCTCAACTCCTCTGACACCGTCCTTAATGCCAGATCAACCACATCAGCTGAGGCCCAGATTGTACAGGCATGGGCGCGAACTATCCAGGAACCCATGAACAAGGTCAAGCGCGTAGCTGTTGGGTAAGGTTGAATCTACATGTAACTTAGGGGCTAAAACAAGGCACAGAGGGCAGAAAATATGTCCATCAATATAATACCAGCCTTACTCGCTCCACGGGTTACAAACATTTCCTGAATGTTAATAAAACAAAGACAAGATCTTAACAATGTGTAACCTGCTTGGTTTGATACACCACTTCAATTTCTCATGGTTATTTTGATTTCAGCACTGGGTACTAAGAGCGAAACCGAGTGATTTTTCAGTTTGGAAGATTAGAGAATGAGGAAGTCACTCATTCTTACCCATGTGATAGCATACACGTCGGTTCTGTTTTCTTCAGATTAAACGTTAATGCAGATTTGATAGTGTCTGCCATATCCCTCCTCGATAAGCTGGACATCAAACCAGGTGCTAGCCAAGATCACGCCCTGCTGAACTCGTTGAGCGACTTGCAGGAGAGCTTTGCTCACTTCTTTGAGTCTGGAGCAGCCGCAGAGAGATTCTTTGCCAATGGAGAGGTTTACAAGAGAATCATTGAAGCAGCTGACAAACTGGAGCATAAGGAGGTAGGTTGGAGGCAGGTCTTACAAGCAAGGGTTGGGGTGGTGCTTTGGTGTTGTACAGCCGGTGCTTGCCGGGCAGCTTTAACCACTTCCTGCCGGGTGGAATTTGCATATGTGGGACGAGTTCCCGGACAATTTTCCATTTTCAAAATTTTTCAAAAATTCATAACTTCATTTACTGGATGTTTACACCCGCACAAATGACTGTCTGATGGCTACTTTAATCTGACAGGCAACCTCCATTGATACCCAAGTATTGCAGCCAGGCCTCCCACCCAGTAAAGAGAGCCCAGATTGTGTGGTGTTGCGTAATTTTGTTTGTTCCCGAAATTGGCCCAGTGTGTTGCTGAATGCCAGTGGTTTCTTCTCAAATGCGGTCAGATTTGCTTGCAGCGGTTCTATATCACTCATCTGTTGAATGCTGGAGCACTTTTGTTCCCGCTGATAATCCGCGGGTGCTGAATGCCGCAAACAGTGGTATACTATTTCAAAACAATGACGAATTACATCCGCTAATGTCAGCTGAAAAATGATGGCAATTGCCAGCAGCTCAGTCTTTTGTCCCGAGTATGGTCATTGTTACAAGGCCCAGCTCCTTTGTCCAATTTCGGGCACCCCGCCTAAAGGTACAAACCCAGTGTACCCGGCATTGGGAACCCGCAGGCAAGTGGTTAATGCTTGAAGTTGAGCATTGCATAACAGCAGAGTTGTTTGACTTGATTTCGGGTCTCTGACTTCAGTAATATAAATTTTGCACCATTTCCAAGCACTTGCTGCCAAGGAACACACTTTATCCTGAAGCCATGGCAGAGAGTAACAGATGAATCTCTAGTATTTTCTAGCTAGAAGACCAAGCGAACCCCACAGACTGCATTAATCATTTGTAACCCATGGAAGTTACGAGCTGAATAAGAAGTTACATGACCCATCAGGACACCTAACCCTGGAGTGATTAATTTGTTCTGACTGTCCTTTTGTATATGACAGTACAGCGTCGGAGGAAATGCAGCATTGATGGCTTACAAGATGGCGGAATTAACAGATGATGTCCAGGTAGGAAGACAGACATCACACTTAGGCTGAATGTGAATCTATTGTCTAGAGCTAAGTCTAGGTCTTCGCTTCATTGGAAATAGGTGGATAAGCGCAGACAACAGACCCAGCCATAGCTCTGGAAATCCGTTTCGGAGACAGCCTCAGAGTGGTGATAGGGCACAGCGTATCAAGAGAGAAGCTGTTATTTCACGGTGCATTATGGGAAATGATCAATATCAGTGTGCGAAAGGACCGTACTTTTGCCCAAGGACTTGGCAATTTGGGTTTTTTTACGACATAATGATTTAGAAAGTTGAAATTTTAGCATGTAAATTACAATTTCATATGCATGAGCTCACAGGTGTGAAAAATATCACAGGAATTAATTCATCGCAGTTTGCACAAAAGGAAATCCTCCTCATCATTAGTGACTTAATTCATCAGAGGGTGCACCAGTTGGGCTTAAAAGCTGGAACCAGATATGCATGATGAGGGAAAATATACGGCAGCACCATCCTAGCCATTGTATTGCAACACCCTGAAACGTCAATGTTGTCTCTAGCAATACAGCCGTTTCACAATAGTGCACCACCAAGAGTTTGCAACGCATTGGCTAATCACAATACGCGTCATTTGTCGACCCAATGCATGTTTGGAAAGGGTCAACAAATTTTGCGCGTTATATTTGGCCAACTTGTTGCAAACTCTTGGTGGCGCACTATTGTGAATCGCCCGTATTGTGGCCAAAAACACTGGTTTTTATTTTTGGCTTTGTTTAGACAACTAAGAATATTTTATTTGGTTGCCAGTTCATCACAGGTTACTCCCTAGCTTGTGCCAGTAGAACCCATATATATCACTGAGCCCTGGGTAAAGAGAGGCAAGCTGGGATAATGTGATTTGCAAGCTCACACCGTATGCCCAGCTGCCGTATTCAAGCTTCCCGACCCCTTGATTGGATGTTTTAAACACTACCTACCTCACCCAACCCCCTGTCAACACCCCGCAGATTCTGATGGTTGGACCAGTTGGGCCCAAGGTACATTCTCTAATGCCCAGCCGAGTCCAGATCCCCGACACCAGCCTGCGAGACGAGGACGAAGTGCACCTGATCATGGAGTATGCCGAGGGGGAGAAGTGGGGGCAGTGGACCTCGCCCATTGCCACCCGCTTCATCACGTCCCATGACGTGGCTAACGCTGAGATGGATGGATTGGACGTTTTTGTGACCAGCATCAAAGGCATGGCCTGTTTCCAAAATTTTCAGAAACTCTGTCTTTGGAATTCTCATTTTTTTTAATTAGTGAGAGTCTTTTCCAAACAACCAGTATCTGACAGCAGGTTTTTCGGGGGAAAAAAGGAAACTAGAAGTAGGTTTTTCAAAAGTTCTACGTCCTGAACACTGACAGCATTTATCTGCACCAATTTCTTTTCTTGCTCATATTTTTTGGGTTTGTTTTGTATGTGCTCTACTAAGTATCTCCTTTTTTTTGCTCAAAGACGCAACCTTCGTTTTCTTTCACCTAAATTTCATGTATAAAATATTTATCGATGCATCGGGACTCCAGGAAGTACAGCGCAATTGACAACTGAAATTTTTTCCAAAGATTGTTAGTTTTCTTTCTCCTTCATGCAGACTTTGGCCCAGACGTGGTGATGTTCTCAGGTCTCCATCTACTGGACTCTGACAGCCTGTCCAAGCAGCAGGAGAAACTGTCCCTCCTGGTTGAGGAGTTGAGCAAGCTTCCTCACGTTATACCCCTACACCTGGAGCTAGCTAGCATAGCCAATGAGAGACTGGTGCAACTCATTGCAACTCAGGTGAGGAGATTGAGTGACACGTGTTGGACTCGTAATCAAGCATTTGTCTTCTGTGAATTTATAGTCGTGTAATTCGTCTTGTAATTCTAAACAGCAGTTTGGAGTGGAGACCCTCATGGGATCATTCACAGAGATTGTCACAAGACCACCTTCAACAGGGTGAACACTGACAAGAGACTGCTTCTGTTTCAGTTCATATGAATATCTCATGACTTGAATGCTTACTGGAGGTCTCGTGTTGGTCCTGTGACAATATTGTGAGGGTCTTTAAGGTCTCAAGTGCACTGATAAATAGTGAAAAGGTGTTTAAATTTAGGAAAAAAGGACAGTGCCGTCAAAAGAAGGGGTGCTTGACACTCAAACCCCACGGGCCCGTTGCCGGGGGGCCAAGAGGGCTGCCCCCCGGCAGGAACCTGGCCCCCCATCAGTAAAATGGAGAAGCATGAAGAAGATACTTTGTTCCTGTGATGTGTCCCACCTAGCTAATACTGTGGCCCCCCCTTAAGGCCTGAAGCTGGCGACAGTGCTAAAACCCCAGACATCAAAACACAGATGCAAACACACAAACCAGGAACAAGGTTAAAAAAATCATAAGTGCTCACTATTGTAAAAGGAAGAGCAAAAGAAAATTCAGATTTGTTTTCATATTCTTGCAAAACCAGTTTCTTCCATTTTAAATGTGAATTGTGCAGGCGCCTACAGGCATGACCATGACAGGGACTTTGAAAAGGAAAAGCCTGATTTCCATCTCTTTTAAATCCCTGAGGATCCACCCCTGATGTCATGCCTTTATAGATATTTAAAAACTTGGGCCATGTCCAAATTTCTTAGCAGCGGCTTGTATTAACAGTCACTTGGAAAATAGCCGCAGCTATTGTTTAGTGGCTTCCATAGGTGTGTGTGTGTGTCATTTCTAGCCATAGCCTATTAATTTGGACACATTTGTTCTTCCCTTGACATTCCATCATAGGTTTTACCCGCAGTCCACTCCCTGGGGCTGAACGAGCAAGAACTGGGTCTGGTAACCCGTGCCAACAGTGGGCCCCACCCCAACCTTGCCATTGAGGAGTCCGGCTACGCAGAAATAGGAGCAGTGGCGGACATCCTCTTCTGGATCCTGACCTCACTGGTCAAAGGTCAAGACTCTCTGCTGACCAGAATTCATTTTCACTCCCTGGCATTTCACATGGTGGCCACTCTACCTGGTCAGTGGGGGAACAGCTTATCAGCCGTGGGCATCGGGGCCCGCATAGCTGGCAGGCAAGCTTGTGGACAGGTTCCCATCGACCCATCTAAAGTAGCTTTACGCATCCCCAAAGCATTCCCATTGTCGGTGGACTATGCTCCGTTGCGGAAGACCGTCATTATCTTTGACCCCATTGAACCTCTCACAAGTTGGACTCGAGGTCCGGTCGCGTTTCATTTCAGCCCAGTTCTTGTCTGTAAAAAACCCGGAAAGACAGTTGGTCTTGGTGATGCAATATCGGCAACAGCAATGCTACACACGCAGTACATGCATAGAGTATAGTATGCAAAGATTGACTGCTTCGAGTGCTGAAGTAAAACTGCCCTCTGGATTCAATCCATAGACCGTTCTATTTTGTTACTGAGGCAAAGCGGGGAGGGATGCCCCAAAATGGATCTCTGAGATACAGCAGCCACCGTTTTTGTTTGTAACATGTCTCTCACAGATTCTCCTTGATTTCAGCAACAACTGATTTGTTTAATGTGTATGCCATTAAAATTCAATCCTGTTCAAATGTGAAATTTGTTCAAACTTGACTTTTTGCAATTATCCAAACTAACTCTTCAAGGAATTTTTGAACCCATCTCTTTAATACTGGCACTTTGGAATACACACAGTGCCCACACTGATAGGCATTTGTTGAAATACCTGTTCTATAACTGCGGTTGCTATGGGTATAGTTCATGTGACCAAGCACAGCAAGATAGCAAAAATAGCAAATGCCATGTGACCTGCCCTCAGCCAATCAAGATACAGAATCTGTCGGTGAGATGTAAAAAACTTTGTCTTTAATTTTTCTTTCAGACCAAGAACTGTAATAATTCTTTCCTCCCAAAAGCTTCTTGGTCTTTTAAGTTCTTGTAAATGTTGACTGCGCAGTGTTCCAGATCATTTCATAAAATAGTCCTTGCCATGTTAGTTGGGTCTTTGTAATGCATGAATTGTTTTAAGCAGGCCTTAAAAGGAAAAAATAAGTCATCATTTTCAGCATTTGTGTTAGTTTCACTGAAATACACTCATTAATATGAAAATTTTAATGAGGGAAACATTATTTGTGGAATGTTTTTCTTCAAAGTTGGTTACTTTCAAAATGGATAGACGGAATTCTTTCAAACAAGTTCATTTGGGGAGCATTATATGATCCCATATCAATTTGTTTTCACACAAGTGCCCTCTTTGACGTACAGTCATTCAGATCTTGTATAACAGGAAGGGTTGGAGGCAGCATTAAAAGTAGGACAAAGCTTTTCGGTTGTACGTGTATTACATAAATGGCTTTTGTGAGTGAGGTTTGCAAAAGAACCGATGGATTCAATATTTCAGACAGCAAGCTCTGTCTCACTTATAAGAGATTTACATGGTACTGCAGACTGCAGGTACTTATCTCTTAGATCTTTATCATTGGAAGAAAGAGAGCATGAACTTGGTTTGTCCATGGTAAGATCATTTGTAATCAGTCCCATGGCTACTCGCATTTCTCTGTCACTCATATTTCTCTGTGCCTTCAGCCTCATTGCCATTAGACACAATTATACTTACATTATCAGTTCCCTCCAAGCTCGAGTACCAAGAAAGGTTATTCTTAATCAGCAGTGCAGCTGTGCCCTTGGGGCTGGTTCCACGAGGTGGAGTAGACTCCGCTAACCTATTGTTCTGTCGACGTTATGACCACAGGTGTAAGGCCAAGATCATGTGCATAATTGCTTGTGTCCAAGTACAGGTTGGTAAATGTACTGAATTGTTAGGAGCTTGAGAGGCTGTTTTCCCCCAAATAGTGTACATGTATGTCGACTTTGCATCATAAGATTGGGACCGAAAACTACGGAATATGATCAGGGAATCTCTGGTTTGTTTGTGTGCCTCAGTTTTTGGACATGTGCACAGCTGTTCAGTGTGCCCGTACCTGTGCCCTATCCTTACATACCTAGTGTGGACTTGTGAACGAAAGGTGTCCTCACTATGCAGGAAAGGAAGACATTTTGTGGTCTTACACACGTCCACAGGACGTTTCCCCTTCTCTGGAAAAGAGGTTTAGAGGCATTTTGAGGTAGGGGTCATCTGTCATAAAAGGAAGAGGAATAGTCAAGGAAACCTTGTACAAAAATCAGCTGAAAATCGTGTTCCCAGTTCAAGAAAAATTAGTATTTTCACCGAGTTTTCTTAACTGCACAAAAAGAAAGGAATGTCTACAGTAGGTATGTAAGGTAAGTGTGGCTATGTCAGGGGTGTGAATTCACCTTTTTAGCTGATTTCAGCTATTTTTGATTAGATGTTGGCCCTGCATTGCAGCTTTTTGGTACAACCGGTCGGTACAAAATATGGGAACTTTTTACATTTCAGCTTTAATTTTAAGAGGTCACTCACACCCCTGGTATTGTGTGTGTGTACTTACCAGGTTAACTACTGAGCAGCTCTCTGTACTAATTGCAAAACAAACCCGGATATAGATCCTTCAGTGGATAGTTCACATCTTTGGATGCAGCCATTTACTTTTCTTGTGTTAAAAATTGTACTCTTTTCTTAGTGCATATAGCTTTTTGAAAAACCATTGTAACCCTTTGGATTATTTCAACTGAAAAAGGAACTAAAATGTGAATAGTATGGTGTTTAGATAAAGCTAACCTGAGGTGTAAAATATAATGACATGCGTCTGCGAAAGAGAGATGGTTCTATGCAAGATATTTACTTCAAGTTTTTGAGTCAAGGTTACTAAGACTCTAACCTTAACATAAATTTTCATGTTGTTGGTTTTGTCTTTAATTTCCCGTAAATAAATTTCCTTCTTTTCGATTAAGGGGTTTTTCTTTAAAGTGTGTGTGAAATTTGTGCTCAAAAAACGTAACCTTGTTAATACTGTGACTTATTTTGTTAAGGATTTATTTTATTTTATGGTGGAAAAATGATATACTCTCTTTTAATGTATTTTTGAAAATGACATGTTTTACATGACGTTTTCAAACCACAAAATCTTGAACCTTAGGGGTTCAACATTGCCAAGATCTTGTACAAAAGGTGTTTGGCTGAATTGGAGAAGAAAGTTTGTAGACATCGCTTGTCTGCCGTTCTGAATTTTGTTTTCATATCTCATATTACTTTTCCAGACCATCCATGTACACTACCAGTCCACAAAAAATAGCAAGTGGCCTCAAAGTTAACGAGAGAAAAGGGAATTCTGGAACCGAATTCAGTTGTTTCGAAACCAAGAATTGTAATAGTTTACGGTTGATTTTAAAAAAGTGGAAAGGAAACAAACAAAAGCACCCTGCGCTATAAATCAGCAATACTGTTCGGTGTTTAATTAATCTTTATAATACCTGAGTTTTACGAGTCATGTTGTATTCTTTAAACAGGTTTTTATTCCAGACAGTCTCATTTCTGGCAGGAAGAAAATTGCCTCAAATCAACAGGAGTAAAAATACTTGCTCTGACATTTCTTGCGTTTGTTTTCCTTCATGTGGCATTCAAATGAAAAAAATAAAATGAAAGTTACGTATGTGCTAGTGATGAACACTTCTTTAAGTGAATGTCGACATTTATATGACTTTGTGTACTTCTTGACAACACCACTAGTTTTGTAAGCTGTGTTTTTCAAGGAGGGTATAAATCTCGCCGATTTTTGTGTCTAAGAACTTGGTGTGGGTCATGGAAAATGTAATAAAATATCGGAACGCACTAAATGGTCATAATCTGGGATAGACGAATGTTCTCCATAAGTATCCGCAGAATCTATATACGCCTATATGTCATATACTTTGTCGTTCTGTTGCACTGTTTCTCTACGGACCGAGGGAGAAACAAAATATTCCTTAAAATGCAAAAGTTGAATTTTTGTCCAAAATTCTGTTGAGCAACAAACTGAACAAAGATCACCACATTAGTATTGGAAAATAAAATATCTTCTTGATTTTAAAGCATTTTTTTTAGAAATGGAGAGGTGATGAAATTCATATCACAGATGTGTCAAAAGGTTTTCTTCAACCCCACCCGCAAAAAATGAAGGATAAGTGAGATCAACTGCATAATTATAAAAAAACAAAGCCGTGATTTGTTGTCATGTAAATCGCGCAAATTGTAATGTTTATAAATTGCCAAGTTTCTCAATTTTCCAATCGCACAATTACATAAACAAAACCAGGTTTTGGTGTCTTGTCAATCGCTCGAATGGTAATATTCATAAGTTGCCAAATTTCTCGATCATGTCCAGTCGAATCGTCTGTTTGGTAGACGTGAAAGGTTCGCTTAGTGACAAAAACGAACCCCACCCCTTTCTAGCAGGCTTTCTCGCAGATTTTCCGATATCGCCCATTTTTGTAGGTGTAGCACGCAGTCCACATAACACAAACGCTGATGAAGCAATCGATCGACAACGCAACAATACATTGTTCCCAGAAGCCTAAGTATTCTCCATTCAACTTGAAGGCCGTGCTTGATGAACGTGGGGCTCCCTCATTGCAGTCAATTGGATGCATGGAGGTAACGGTAAGTTGTTTATAATGAGAGAGAAATTGCTTTTTTTTTCTTTTTAAAATAAAGTGATGGTGATTTGGACTTCTACAAAGCAGTCGCGTAACTAAGGCTGATTTTTTTTCAAGGGGGTACCACAAAAAATAAGCTGCAGATGCAAAGCTATATATAGAAACTCAACGAAGATTATTAGAAGATTTTAAATGGGGGAGCACCCGGGGTACAGGCATCCGCTGGGGATGCCCCCCCCCATTAACACCACTGGCAGTTGCATGAGGTCTGAACACGAGCAAATGCCAAAGTGTACAAGAGGCATACGCGCAAGCGCAGTTGTACAGGGAGATTTAACCCACCCATCCCCTGCAACTTAGTCTTAGTATAGTCCCCCCCCATAAAAAAGCTGGAAATTCTGGCCATTCTGTATGTCATTTTCCAATTAAATGAGTAATCCATAATTATTCTTTGGACTAATAAAGTGAAAGAGCAGTAGCGAAAGTTAAAAGGTGACGTCACGTGCGAAGGATCTAGCTCCCCCCCCCAAAAAAAATGACTGTAGAACCGCACTGGATACGCGTGTCATTAGAACTATACCAACAAGCACACCACCATATCAGAAACGAGATCACGGAGTGGTGGTATCTTGTGTTTAATACAATGTAAACAATATGGATAAAATAACAGGAGAATAAGTACAGTTCGTTATGTCTTAGTTACTTCGAAGATTTATCTGACCTAATTCTGAGCAGCGGCTGCCTTTAAAACTTCTTGGATTGTTAATATTAGATACATTATATTAGTAAACAAGTCATAATAAACTGTTCCTCAGTTTTTCTTAAGTACTGGTGAGAGTATCGGCGTGAGTTATGGTACAATAGTAGGCTCTATATCTAGCGGAGGGACACGTTGAACTAGACGATATCTCAGCTTTCCTTCTTATTTTAAGTGAAAGCACCAACTCCCGCCTTTCTTGAAAGAAAAATCCCCATTTTGTTTCCCCCAGACATAAATACAGTGTAAAATATGGAATAAATTGTTTTGTTTCCGTAAAAATCGATACAAGGGAGTCCACAAATCTGTAAACTTTACGATTATGGCCCAAAAGGGCTGAGCAAACTGTAAATTAGGAGCAATAAATAAAGTCTAATGTGGTGTCCATGATTAATATTAATGGCCGTCGCGGGCAGAGCACAAAAACAACTAAAAACACGAAAAGAAAAACAAAAAATTGTCTCCTGCTGGCAAAGGTGTGCTGAGTCTGCGCTCGAATCGACACTATGTAATTTCGCCATTGCTCTTCAGGTTATATTCTCAATGCAGTGATGGGTTCCTTGGTGTCTCTCTCAATATATTTCAAATCAAGTTGAAATTGCTAGCTTAATTAACGCATAACATCTTTTCTTCAGTCAGGCCTACGTGCAGTTTGAAAAAGGGAAACTACCAAAATGGTATTCAACGATATATGCACAACTACTGCCGGTGCGGCCGGCCTTCGGCATGCCGTTGGGACACTGCCAGCGCACTTCAGGCCTGAGGCTCAGATCTATTTCCCCTGAATGAGTGTACAGGTCATTGGACCAGTTTTCATTCTTAAAGCATGTTTTTATGCTTTCGTGGAGGAAAGTTTTCATTCCAAGTCGTCCTTTATCACGAAGAACAAGAGTGCGCCCCCAAAATATAAAACGTTAACTTTCCATCGCAGGGGAATGCGGTGCACACGTACCGAATTATGTAACGATCGTGATTACGACTTGTGGACTAGGTAAAAGAAACGATTTTATCGATATTACTATATGCATAATTGAAACTCAATAATCTGATTTTCAGGTGTCGAATCAGAGATCGCTGACTGTTCGACACTGCTGTAATCAATGAATGTAGGCCTACACTCAATGCATCGGAGTCATGCGCAAGCAGAAATTTTGCCCCGCGTTAATGTGTAAACAAACCATCCCTGCTCAACAAAAATTACGTCGTGCATTCAAGGGCGGGGGGGAGGACAAACGAATACGTGACATCGTGAATCGGTCCTTTACATTTCAGTGTAGTAGAAGGACGCATCGCATGATGAACGCTGAATTGACTTCCTGATTCAGCCTCAACTAGTGCGTGCATCAAGTGTAAGATATCGCCAACGGAGCAAGGAAAATTGCGCTTTAATGAAATCGAAATCTTTGAAATTTCACACAAGCGTAGTAGGTAGATCTTACGGAAGGGTATAGAACCATATGCAATAAAAAATGTGAGTTATTATCTAGCCGCGGAGTTATTGTCTCACCGGGGGAGGTGTAATAGGCTATTCGTTGAATGTCTATTTCGCTGCGGCAAGTTATGCACTCGTGCCGTGCCGCAAATTGATATGCCGCCGCGGCGAATGTCTAGCCAGTCTCATATATTCAGCCTGTTAACGTCATGTCTCGGATGCTTTTTGGGGGGATGCAGTGAGATTGGGTTTTAGAACTCCTTTGAACAAAAGGAGAACTATCTTTTCAACAAAGCTAGGTTTCCAAACAAAGAAAATCTCATTTTGGG